TATGGAGGTATGTGTTGGGTTGATCTTCTTCTTCTTCGAGTTATGTGAAAGGGATTGTGTTGAAATGGTTGGGGGGTATGTGAAGGGGAAGTATGTTTTACCAGATTTGAGTCTAATCTGGCCATCTGGGTGTGCATGATATATGATGCATTGCCCCTGCATCTTGTAATGAGACATATGCGACTTTTGAAAAGTTTTGGAAATACACCATACTTGGTTTTTATATATATATATCTATATCTGTGATTTTATCTTTGATGTCTGATTATTAGCTAAATTGCTGGGATTGTGTTGGTTTTGGGAATATTCGTATGGGTATGTGTGATCTAACTGTGTATGATCCAATAGTAAACACCGGTAGGATCGAAATTTGCTGTTCCTCTATACTGGCTATTGCCTATTGTGGAAGTCGGATATTTTTCATGCCAGTCTTTGTGACTTGGGCAGTTTGAGGATTGGGCACTAAGTTGCTGGTTTTGTCATGTCAAATTCACTAAATTGAGTTGTTTTGGCCAATCACCAATTAAGAAAGCCGTTTTCAATTTGAGTTTGTTGCAATAATGGAGTTTAATTTAATGATAGTATTGCTATATAGTAATAAAGGATATACTCTCATATGGTCTCTCATATGGTCCTAAGCTCAGACACATTAAATGAAGAATCCTGAAATAAGTTGAAACTGTGCAGGACATATCATTTCCAACAATCCATATCTTATTCAGCTCTCCATTAAACAATCACAAGTGAACATTATTTTAACTTCTTTTTTTTTTTTTTTTTCAANCAAGTCAGTGATCTGTTTGCAAATTCAACTTATTAGGCAACCCCTTGATGTAAGTGTATGGAACTGCCATTTTTGTCCCTGTTAGGAAAAGTATGAGCCAAGACCGTCAGCTTCGTAAAGAAACTGTCGCTACTCGGATTAATCACGCGTTTGACGAGTTCGAACAACGACAAAAGGAATGACATGAAGTACTGGTCTAAAAGCGAATAAAAGCAATTACCAAATGAAGTCCTTCATGACGGAACAAGATTCACAAGCAATTACCTCGCCACCCACGCAGTTTAGTAGTAACAAGAAAAAAGCTGATATATGAAGCTTTAGAAAAGTTCTGGAAATACAGCTTACTCAGTTTATGTCCTGGACAAGGCAATCATACCTGTCTTATTCATGATTTGAAGTTGGAACGAGCACAACTTATACAAGTTTTAATTCAACTTAAATTATTAACCATCGATTTATAAGATTTTTTTTTTCATTAGCTATGTTTGCATTTTGCAATGGCGCAGGTTTGATTGACAGTTTTGTTGCAAGGTAATGAAAATTACTCTATTACCATATAATCCTAAGCATATTGACAAATTCATACATAACTCAAGCAACTCGTCTAGAAAATCATTCAACACAAGCACGATCATTCACTTAAACAATCACTTAATGGCTAGAAGCCACAGTTTACATATCACATACCAAACTTAGATGATCCCAACAATCTCATTCATTCAGAGGAGATGGTCTTTATTTAACACACGTCTCATTCGGTCTAACAAAGTAAAAAGGACATACACATGTGCCATTTCACCAACCTCCAGTAAATTCAGAGTTGGACCTTCGTAGGTTTGTAGTCAACCACAATCACTTTCTCGAATTCAGGCAGTAATCTGTTTGCAAATTCAACATGATCCGGATGAGCAACATATTCGGCAACCCCTTCTGTGCTCTCAAAGGTTGACTCAAAGATGTGTGTGAAACCCTGATGCAAGTTTTCGGCACTGACGTCTTTGCCCCTGTTGGGAAAAGGCACCAGTCAAGGCACACACTCAGCTTTGTAAAGAATCTGTCACTAATCAGATTAATCATGCATTGGATGCAATTCGGATGATGAAAAATGGAATAACAAGAACTACAGGTCTAAAAAGCATATAAGCAATTTTATTTATATTATTTAGGCTTTTTAGTCCCCAAATGTACAACAAGATGAAGCAATAATCAAGGGACAAAATGTGCAGGACGAAACGAATAAATGACAGAACTTTTGCAAGTACTAATTTGCCAACATGCACAAGAAGATGACATATAAAATTGTATCATTAATTGAAGTTATTGAACACTAGATGATGTAGAGAATGAAGGAAGTGGAAAATTATCGTCATAAGAACTTGTGCTAGAACCATCCAATCCACACAAGCACACTCTGATAAACAATTCCAAATATCCGCAGATTAACCAACGGAGGAAGCAAAAACTTCCATTTTTCTTTTCCAGTTTTCCGAGAACAAATACAAATGTAAGTCCAATCACTATTCTTGTTGACTCAGGTAGTTTCGCAGGTAACTTGGAGAGGAAATGCCATCAAATATTTTCCAAGAACCTTAAACAAGCTACATTTTTTAATCCAGGTTACATCAATATTTGTTGATTTATCAAGGGTTAGATATTTTATGCAACCTGTACCATACATTTTTTTTTTTTGGACTTTGTAATCCATTCATATTTTGCTATCTCTCATACACCCTAACCATACAATCATCTGCAAAAACACGCACATGTATGATATTTATGAAGTTCAGTTTGTATTTTACCATGAAAAAAACTATGATTTGCATAGTCCAAAAACACATATAGTATTTTACCTATTTATCAATATAATTCAAAACCTGTAACCACTAGAGGGACCTCAAAACTAGTACTAGCAAATACAAAGTAAGTCTTCAAATGAGAAAAAAACTAGGAAAATTTCATTGATAGCTTTCAAGAACACGAATGATCTTAGTATCTTACAATAAACGAAACCATCAAATTCTTACAGTTGCAGCTACCTACATTTTAATCGACGTGACATACATCACACATGATATTGCAATTGAAAGACACACACACAGATAGAGAGAGAGAGAGAGAGAGAGAAAGAGAGAGAGAGAGTTATGATACCATTTGAAGGCCTTCATGGATGGAATAAGATTCACAAGATTGGCATATTGCTTGATGTATTCCTCAATTTGTTCTTCAGAAATGCCTTCCTTGAATTTTGCGAGCAAAATATGCTTCACTTCTCCATTGACTTCCCCCATTTTTTCTTCTGATTTTTTTTCCCTTTTGCTTGCTCTCTAGCGCTTGGGCAGAGTACCTATCTATTTGCCCCGAACCAGAATATCACTATATATTGGGAGAAAATTCTAATTTCGGTACATAACGTAATATTTTTTCAGAATACTCCTTGCATTAGTCCGTACAGTTCGGAGATTAAAAAAATTACTAAAACCGTATCGATATCCAAAAATCACTTAAATTCAATCTTCAAATTACTGAAAAATCAAGACGATTCGGTTTCAAAATTTTTATTTTCGGTCCGTTCGGTTCGGTATTAGAGGCTATCAGAACGGTTAGTTCTATTTAGTTTGGTTATGAGTTTTGGAGATTTTAATTATTTTCTATATTTTTTGAATGACTACCTTGTTATATTTAATTTTTTATATATTTAAAAAAAATCCAATATTTACTTCACTCTATTAAAGATTTTATTTTGAAATAAACTTTAGAAGTAACTCAAAATTTTAAATAAGACTACATTTGTGCAACTAACAATTAAAATTTAAAATTCAAACAAAAATAATATAGTTTTCTCTTAAAAATAATATTTCGTTAACCTTTCATACAATTTTAATTGTAAGATAGTATAGGACTAAGAAAGAACCAACATATTTAAGTAAAGTATAAATAAATTTTTAAATGTTTTTTTTTTCTAAAATATTTCTTTAAATTTTCATACCATATTAAAAAAAATTTAAAACATAAATAATTCAATTGAGTCAAGAATTACTTTTATTATGTACTGTTTAATTGTTATTATTATATTTTATTTGAGTTTTAAAAATAGTCAAATTATGTAAGATTAAAGTTGGCATAAAATATATTAACAACACACATCTAATCTTATAATTCAGTTCTTAATTTTGGTTTTAGATCAAAGAGTTCTATACCCTAGACGTTCTTGTTGAGGGTGAACTAATCGATTTTTATTCCGTCGAAGGTGAGCTAATATGAATTTCGGCCACAGTGTATAGATCCGAATTTTTTGTGAGGTGAGAAAGCAAAATACAATATTTGAATATCTTTAGGGAGACTCAAAATACAATATGTGCGTAACACGTAAGAGAAAAAGTTTTTTTTTTTTAAAAAAAAAAACTCTATTGGGGATGACTTTATCAAAGCCGGTCCTGGCGTTTCTTAGGCGCTGGGCCAAACGTAAAAATGATGCCCTCCTTTTTAGTCAATATGATGATATTTATGAGGTTTCAATAATTTGTTTATTTGTTGCAAAATTAATCAATAAATTAGATGATTAAGCAATGCATTGAGTAACTTTTGATGAATTAATAAAAAAATAATGCCTCTAATTTTGTTTATTTCAATGCAATAAGATAATAAGCTAATTATATAAGTTATAAGTACATTAAAATGGGCCTAAATCATAAGTACGAAAACCATTATTTACAAAAATTATATAATTATGTGTAAGTTGAATATTTCACTTATATAAATCCTTGTAATTTTGTGGAGAAATTTAACTGTCCTTTATATTAGTGTAATTTTATTGAATAACACATTATTTTACACTTTGTTACTTAATTGAATGAATTTTATTCAATGAGTTATAAATTTATTAGGATGAAAGTGATTATAATTTATAATACATAAACTATAAAGAATTAGAGATACACCCAAAAGAAAAATCGAATAGGAATATAAATAATGATAGGTTCTCATTTAAAATTTCAAAAAATTATGTGAACTTTAATTGTTGTGCATTTAATTTTTTTACAATTAATGTTTGTGGAAAAGACGAATACCACTTTGGGTTCCCCTTCAAAAATCAAGTTGTCAAATCCTGGGGGAAAAGACATAACTAACTCTTATAAACAAAACGTTTCCATTAAAATACTAGTCACATACATTTCCAAATATAATCCAATCACTTCCAAAACAGGGAAAATATATAACTACCTCATATGCAAATAAATAAATAAAACCACCTAATTAAAAACTATTATTTATTTTCTTTATCTTTATCTCTTCTCTCTCTTCTTCCTTCTTTCTCTTCATTATCTTTCCCACGTAATTTCTTTTCTTCTTTTCTCTTTTCTTCTTCCCCTTCTCTTTCCATGCTCTTCTTCTCCAAATATTTGTTCTTCTTTTCTCTTCTAAACATGAATACCTAAGAAAAAACAACTTAAAAATATAATATAAGCAAAAAAATTGATCATTGGTTATATACATACATAACAATTAAATTAAATTAACTGATAAACAACAAAATTTTTATTATTATGACTTTAAAGATTAATGATATATGTTACGAAAACAACAAACTAATAAAAAAACAACAATAAAACATATGACAAGCAACATGAGAATAACAATCTACATAAAAGTAACATCAAAACAACATTATAAAATATGTGAAATAACATAAAAGTAACTTTATACTTGCAATAAAATATGAACACACAACTCCTTTATATAAACACATGTATATAGGACTCTCAAATTTTCGATTCATAAGTTCATAACAACACAAATAATTTCACTAAGAATTTTTGATTTAGTCATTTGAGGAATTGGGGTAGATGATTAGGAAATAGGACTTACCTCTTTGACGTTTTGACGGAGACACAAAGTTCTCAATGCCGGCGGTGTGCTTCCGTCTGCTTATAGGAGAGAGATGATGGACTGAGCGCAGGCGACGGAGGATGGTAACGGTGCTCTTTACCTCTCCATTTTCTGCTTTATGTCGTGAGCTTAAAATTTTCGTTCCCTCTTTAATTTTTCACTTGAAAATCTGATTGGGAGTTCGGCCCAATTAATCCGCTCATCAGCCGAATTTATAGAGATAGATTTTTTTGGGAGAATTCAAATTCGAATATTTTGTGAGTGAACTTTAATTTTTATTATATGCAATAATGAGAAAGAAAAAAAAAGAAAAAATAGAGGAGAAGAAGGAATTGAAAAGGGAGGTCATTTGGTTACGGGAGAAGAAGAAAAAAAAAAGAAGAGAAAAGAAAATGGAGGAAGTAATTGGGGAAAAGAAGAAACTAGTTATTTGCAACATGAGAGAAACAAACGTGTAGAAAAAAAATAAAGAGAGAGAAAGAAAAGATAAGAACGAAAAGAAGAAGAAGTTACGGGGGAAGTTACTAATAGGGTCTAAAAATTTAAAACCTAAATGCGCCCATGAAATATGAAAAAAGGAGTAATTTTGTCTAAATAATAAGTGAGGCTGTTAATGTAAAATTTTTAAAAATAGAGATAGAGGGTGTCATTTATTCTCAAATCCTGGTAAGGGAACCCGATAGGCGCCACCTTGTTGACTCGCAATAAAGGCTAGTCTATATATTGATTTATTAGTTGTCTTATAAACTTTGCAATTAATATAATGATGAGATGTAAAATTTGGCTAAATTGGCCCAACAATTAAACAATATACATACAAACAAAATGGAGGCCCCTTTTGGGTTTTGTCCTTGCGTGGGCCTGGGCCAGGGCCGGCCCAGGGCAACTTTGATGACCGCCCTTCTTCTAGCGCCATTTTGTTGATGGTCGACCGCCAATGGTTATAGTTTAAATAAATTAAGCAGTTTAATCGGGGGTTACGATGTGTTTTATAAAGTAATTGAGGCAATACATCAAGAGAGAATATGAACAGATTCGCACTAACTATAAAAGTAAATATGCAAAAAAAATAAAAAATAATAATAAATGAGGCGCTGATATTGTTGATATACAATGAGATCGACAAGGAGAGTGGTTCCTTGGAATTTTTATTGAGGGACATTAAGATGTGTTAAAGCCATAAGAGAGTGTGAGAGCTACGTGAGGATAGTATTTTGGATCGGTCATGAAAAAAATTGAGAAGGCAATAAATGTTCATTGTCAGCTAAGAGCGTAGGGTGGCGTCGCGTGTATCTATGCAAAACTTGTCTTTTGAGGATGGAACAACGTGGGCGGTGGCTTATCATGTTTATCGGTTTTGCATTTAGATGAAGAGAGACCGCCAATCTTCTTCGTGTTTGTTGCGGGGACTTGTGTAGGCCAAATTGCGCGTCTGGGATTTTAACATAAATAATTTTTATTTGTATTCTATAACTTATAATCTCTATACATGATCCTTTATTTAAAATTATTTATTGCAAGAATAATGATTTTTTTTTTTTAAAAATTGAATTTAACACATTTAAGAAAAAAGGGAAACTTCTTTGGGTTAATTGAGTTGAATGAACTGAGTCACTTCCAGGTTAACTAGGACACTGTCTGGGTCATTTGTAAAAGCAATTCATGATATAACTTGGGTTACATCGTAGTTCACCATATCATGAGTCAACTTGATTGGACTAAATTGAGTGTTTGAAACTAAATATGGATTTCAATAATAGGAATACCCTGTGATGGCGACGAGATCGCCTTCAATTATTTGGCGAAATACGATCCCCTCCGACTTTAGAATGCATGAATAATTATTGTTTTATCTATTTCTTTTATTTCTTTGTTTTTATTTATTTAAATTAGGAATAAATTGTGTCTGGTTTAAGAAGGTTAGATTTTGAAGACTCTGTGTATATATTTGTGGTCCTTTGGGATTTGAACGCAGACATCGAATAAACATTTCATCAGATTGAGAGTTCTTCTCTTTTCTTGTTCGTTTTATTGCTTCCGCCTACATCACCCTGTCATAATAATTATAATGTGGTGAAATAACCAAATCAAGTTTTTTTTTTTCTTTTACATAATTTCAGTAATTTATTTATTTCTTAAACTACTTTAAGAAATTAAATATAAATGTCATTCAAATAAATCTCCTCTGTATATAATTTCAGAATAGGTTCAGCCTACATGGCAAACTCTCACGCTTCGGAATCTTATTTGGCAAAAAATCATGCTTTGGAGTTAGGCTTGGATATAAATTAATATTTGTATTAATTATAGTTTAATATCATTTCCTATTATAACTATTGGATTGCAAATATATTTTAAAAGTTGATAACTTTTGTATTTCTTATTGGTTTTACATATATAATATATCAAATTAATAATATTTTGATGAGCTTCGATTTGACATCCATATTGTATATATAAAATAAATAAATTATATTTATCTTTATAATAGTAATAAAATTATTTATTAAAATTAATTAGAAAATAAAATTATTTATCAAATTTATGTTTAATGTAGTTATATGTTATAAGGTAAAAAATTTATTATAATATAACATATATAAATCGCACAAGTAACACGTGTCATACTAAAATATATAATAACATATACGTTGACTTAACTCAATCACTTTTTTAACTCAACTTTAACTCAACTCCACTATCATTAATACTATTAATATAATTAAATAATATCAATCAATCATTCATACACACCATATCAACTTTAATTCATTATTCATCCACTCACATTATTTTAACTAACCATCACTTCAATCATCTCTCTCCTACTTTTACATCAAACTAATTTTTATTATTTTATTTTAAATATTATTTTAATATACCACTAACAACTAATCATACCACTTTTTTCAAAATTAACCAAATCAAACTAAAAATTCAAACAAAACCAAAAATTTCCATAAACAAACATGCTAGTCACAACTCAAAACTCACAATTAACAATACAAGCATTATACATAGGCGGCACAAGCCGCGTCTCTTGCATTAGCCGGCCTCAAAGCCAACATCATCAGCATTGCCAATATACAAATGGGCAGCAAAAGCAACATAAAAGGTGGTGGAGGTAGTGGCGGCAGCACTAGCGGCAGTATCAGTAGCGACGCCGTTAGGCAGATGAGCACAAACATCGACTCCAACGTGAAGTAACGGGACATTTTACCCTTTTGCCCTTGCGAAAATGAGATTCCGCTGTTGTAGTCCAGTTTACTTTGCTCGGTCGGCAGAACACGACTGAACCTCCTTACACACGCGACGGTGTTCGGATAGTGGAAATTTTGCACACTCATGCGGTGGCCTTTTGAATTTTCTGCATCCATTTTACTTGAAAATTTGTACTTCAAAACTGCCCCAAGTTTACAAAGCGATTGGTTAGAAAAAGAAATAATAATATAAAGATGCTAATGCTACCACCTAAGTGCTAAAGCTTCGATAGAAGCTCTAATTCGAACTAGATAACTATGCTAAGAGATTTAGTATTAAAAAAAAAATAAAATTTAGTAAGACACTCGTGTACTACACGAGTGCATGAAAAAATAATTTTAAACAAAAAAAGGTATAAGAGTTTAATTATTGTAAGTATATACAAAATAAATAAATAGAAGTTTCATAAAACAAAAACTAATATACATTAGTATTTTGTTTCAAATTCTCAAAAAAAATTTGTATCCAACATTATTAGTTTTACTTACAACTAATGAGTAACAATTAATAATACTAAACAATAATTTTCATGAACATTTATTTTGATTGTGAAGTGGTTAATTTCTTTGTCAATTTATGTCTATTTATTCGTGCAAATGTATAAATTAGTAAATTAAACTAAAACAATTAATAAGAAGCAATATAAAGATACTCAATCCGCACGATATATATAATTATGTTATTAAACTCCAAATTAAAAAAAAAAAAAATACCCTGGAAGGAAATAAATATTTGTGTCATTTTTATATTCAATATAAATTTGGTAATGAAAGAGAAACTGATGTAAGGCAATAATGCATGATGGAAAAATTATTTATGGCACTTTTCAACCCAATTTTATTTCCAAATTTTGTATCCGAACCTAAATACGAAACATGATATTTGACAATTAGAATTCCAAAGCGTGCGAGCATGCCACTTAAACTCGACACGTTTTGAATTAATATATAGGGGGATTTCAGAGGTCTTTCTCATGTTAATTCAAATTTTCTTGAAGAACAACAAAACAAGCCAAAAATTAGAGTGCTTCAAAAGACATCACCACACTTTAACTAAAAAAAAAAAATTAAAAAATTAAACATTAATATCATAATTAATAGTCAACTAATTAAGCCCAAAATGAGAAAAGTTATGTATTAATGATAACGTAATACAACAAAAAGAGAATCCATGGATACGTTGTTGCATCAGCTAGACAATCTAACATCTTAGCTATATTTGAGTAAGAAATATTCGTTAATCTAAATAGAAAAACACATATCCAGAAATAATTGATCTCATATATCTGATATGGAATATTTAGCATGACTAAGAAATCAGAAAAAGAAAAGAAACCCAGAAACTGAATTAACCAAAAATAAGGATCATATGAGAAATCTGGCTTAATTGATGCAAGAAAATGTATATGTACCTATAGTGCTTGTAAAGCTTTTTGCAAATCTTGGAAGCTGAGAAGATTGTGGTAGGTGTGGTAATTGAGATTCCAAATGGTGAACACACTAATTCCCTTCAAGAGCACCTTGTGCATTTCACATACACTGTTCCCTTTTCCTTTTTACCTTGTCAAGAATCTAACTTTATTCATAAAAATCCAATCTTGATTCTTGGGAGAATTAAGGTAGGAAAAGATGAGAGCAGAGAAAATCAGAACACACATAAATAACAGAAGACTTAATTGAACTTGGGTGGCTTTGTTGGGCTGTACTGTCTTAAACAAAGAGAGTTTTGATGGGAGAGAAGACTAACAAGGGAGAAAATTTGAATGAAAGAGAAATGAAGATGGTAAGGGCATTGTTATGGTCAAATGTCACCTGTTGGGTTGGAATTGTTGCCTTTTTGGGGTTTATGACAATGGGATTTGGAATGGAGTTTTTGGTTGTTGATATTAAAGTGATATATATATTTTTAATTATAAGTACAATCAATAAATGCTTGTCCTAGATTACAAGGAAACCCCCCCCATAAGAAAGAATAATGAGGGTTGATTCAGTGAATGGGGGCAGGAAACAAGTGGGGGCTGCTGACAAAAGAAATATTTGATGGTTAGAATATGAGTGAATTTTTCAAGGAATTTGCAAATTGTGTCTTGGTTCTTCACCCCTTGGAGCCCCCAACTGAGATTTTTTATGGCTTGACTGTTTCCAGAAAAAATTAGGGGTAAAAAGATTAGGTAATCTTTTCACACCAATTTCAATTAGGTGAGATTGAGACTTTTCTTCTAATTTATANAACATCTAGCCTTGAATTGTTGAAATCTTGTTGAAAAATACAAGTTATGAAAAAATAGATAGAGATAAAAAAAAAATAAAATAAACATGACGAGATAGACAAAAACAAACTTTAAAAAGGCAAATTGACGAGTGGAATTAAGTGATATTGTTTGGATTGATGCAGGAAAATGCAAAAAGATGACGCAAAATTCGTGATATATGAATATAGGATTGTTTTATTGAGGTCAATTAATATAAGATTTTTGTACGTAATGAAATACGTAGACGGATGTATGATTGACAAGTGATTTCGGTGACAGGTGGTGTCGAAATCTAACGGGCACAACAACAAGTTCTTGCAAAACCTAAAATCCAAATTGTTCATGTTGCAACAAGAAATCAAAGTATTTTGGACCTCTCTCGTAACATAAATTTACCTTAAAAGACTTCCAATACTTGCCTACTTTCTTTATTTTTTTACTAGCAAATTATTAGGTAAGCATTGAGTATGGTAATGGACCATGCATAAAGTAATTAATATCAGCCTCAGGAGTGGAGTTACATGCTTAATGTAATCCATGATGTATAATCTAGTGGTCGGTTTAGACTGGCACAAGGGTAGCATAAAGAGTGGCCATTTGAGGTGATACCATTATTAGAACTAATGCAAGAACAAATTTATCCCATTTGGGTTGGTACCTATTAGGCCGGCATGATAAGACCCCTCTATGAATGGGATTGAGAGGGGACTGCCACAGCATATCTTAATGCTTCAAAAGTTTTATATTAAGAATCCTTCAACTAGTTCATGTAGCGATGGACAAAATTGAGTCGGACATCGATTGTTCAAACCGAATGTTACGCTCTATCATAAACTACTTGTTACAAAGGAACTGATTTATACATTAGTTTAGTTTTTCATAATTTTATGAAAACGTAGACCATATAATTAATTAACATGTACTTCACCAGTTTTGTTATGAAGCCAACATTCTATATACAACAAATAAACCTACCATATTAATAAAATTATATTAATGTTATTTAAGTAATCAGAGAATATGGTAAGTTTACTTGTTGTATATAGAAGGTTGACTTCACTATGGAGCCAACTGTTGCCTTCATAACAAAACCGTGTACTTCTATATTTTTATTTTTTAAGATACGACAATTATATCTCTGGTGCATCAACGTTGCTCGGCTCAAAGCGGGCTTGCTTAGAGGCCGTGCCACTAGACGACGAGCTCGGCCTCTTCCTTTGATGTTGCACCTTGGTCGGAGGGGGTGGAGAAGCAGCAGGTGACCCCTGTGGTCGGGTTGAGGATATCGGAGGCCTGGTCAAAGGAGCCATCTTCTTTGCCCCAGAGGAAAAAGTACTAGGCTTGGGTTTCCCTACAAGGCTCCCTGAAAAGAAGCGAAAGAACAAATCACATCACAACAGGAAAAAGGTACTAAGTATATATACAAAACAACAATTTAGGCTGAAGTCTACTAATTTCCTCCTCGGTGAGGGAAGGGTAAGATTTTTTGGACCCACCGCAGTGGGAGAGCAGTTGGTCATTATCGACCAAGGTGTTGGAAGACAAGAACTTGGTTATAGGCATCGATAATGAGTTCGTAAGCCTAGTTGCGAGGAGGATTGACGTATTTGACAGGGATGGTTTCATGCTAGATGGTCGAGTTACATGGGAGCGGCGTAGGGTGCCGAACAAAGAAAATTTTAGTCCTTCATTTAGGTATATTGGAGGGGATATTAGTCGATAATTTGGCCTTATTACAGTTAGCAAGGTACAGAGCCTTTTATAGGTCCTTGGCTATGTAAGAGTAAAGGGGAAAAAAATCGGGGTTAATGAGACCTAACCGACGAAAGGAAAGAATGGAATATGCAATGAGATGTCTAATGCCGATAAAGGCAACGTCAGACTCGTTGGTGGCGCGTGAGGCGGGTGAATCTTAAAAAAAAAAAGAGGGAGGGAAGAAAAAAGAAATATTTTTTAGGGTTGGAAGAAGTTGAATCGAAAGAGAAATTAAAAACTGAGAGCCGGGAGGGAAAATTGAGAGATGAACATATATGCAAAATTGAAGACAGAGATACAAAACACTTACTCTTAGACAGGGTTGAAGTTTGAATTAGTTGATCGGGAAACTGGGGGAGCTAGTGGTCAACGATGATGTGACAACGATAGACTTCAAAGGATACAGAAAGCAAGAGAGAGAGAGAAAGTTGTGTTCTAAGGAATTTGTTAGCAAAAGTGGGAAACCGAGAAAATATGGCCAAGGGTCGCTTTTATAGGCAGGGGGAACTAAATGCGAAGGGTGGTCAACCCCAACCGTTGGATCATGGTCGGATCCAACGGTAAATATCAACATAAGTAGATGAAAAGACAGGTCAAAACGGACCGTTGGATTAAGAGGGGATCAAACGGATGATATTAGTGACACATTTAACTATTGTGGTACATATTCAACAAATATCGATATATTATAAAAGTAACGACTGGAGTGAGAGAGTTAGAGTTGAAAGCGGTGTGGGTGCGATTTCTAGGTTCGATGCAATTGACTCTAAAAACGAAGCGAATAGAAGTGAAGTCATAGAAGTTTTTGGGATACATATTTAACTAAAGAATTTCTTGTTTAAATTGGTTGATACATTTAAAAAAAAAAATTAATAAAAAGAAACTAATTTTATATTAAGAAATGATTTAGGCCCATATGGATATTGTAAGCAAGCTACACTGGTCCAACATTCATAAAAGCCCAAGGATGCCACAAAACCCTACCAACAGAACCCCAAAAGCTTTTACCATTTGACGCATCCCCCATCGCAGACGCAGAGAGTCGGCAAATAGAGGCGAAAATGGTGGTTTACAGGGTACGCTTGATCGTGTATATTGTTTGAATTTCTACCTGTTTCTTGTTAATCTTCGTACATTTTTGGCTCCTATGTTTTTTACTAGTTCGTTCTTCATGCGTGTTGTACCTGGCGCAGTTCCATCAGTACCAGGTGGTCGGAAGAGCTCTGCCGACGGAGACGGAGGAGCACCCGAAGATCTATCGCATGAAGCTTTGGGCCACCAATGAGGTTCGCGCGAAGTCCAAATTCTGGTACTGTTTTTATCTTAAATCGTCCCTTTTTTTTTTTCCTGTGAGTTTGGTGTTATAGCTCAAGGAGCTTCTCTTTGTATAAGATTCTGTTGAAAGAT